AAGTCAGTTAAACATCCAGACAGACTTTGGTCAGATGAACTCACACAGTCTAAAACATCAAACTAATTAAAGGTAACTCAGACATAAGAACACATCACCCGTGGTTCATAGTCTGAGGCTTAAAGGCAGATAACCACTGTCTGATTTTTTATAGTCAAATACACTTATGTACTAATGTTTGACCTGTCTGCATAAATACAAGACACTACACAAACACAAGTGTACTTTCTCTGGGAAATGAAGTACATGGAGCTGCTGTACTTCAAACAAGCAGTTATTACATAATCTGAATCCTCTGCTGCTACTATGAGGGGATCCACTGGTTAATCAAAGATAACAGACTTGCCCCCTTTGTGGAACGGGTCACTGCAAATTAAAAAGTTTTTCTAAATGATCATTTTATCCTGCTGCCATCTACAGAGCAAGATGGTGTGAATAAGTCGACTGAACACCTATGGGAGATTTGGGAGCACTGGTTTATAATAGTTTCACTATTATCAAAACATCAAATGAGGAAAAATAGTGCTCCATCCCTCCCGTAGGGTTTGTGAGCCTGGAAAGGGAATCTGTGAGATCACCTATTGGTTTGTGAAGTCGTGCCTCTAAGACTCAACTGGAGCATTTCAGCCATTGTCATCTGCACCAGAGACTGAGGCAGAGGTGGATCTTTTTATCAAGCTGCGTTTCTTTTTCAGTACCTTTGTCTTAAGAGCCCCCTTTCATTGTCCTCTCGGGACTAAAGCACGCAGCCCCATAGGGCCTCCCTGTGTATGCTGGAGTGGGCCTACTTTCCTAAACATTACAGAGTTGCCATTAGCTGTGGCCCAGTAGGTGGGATTGAAAACAGCACAGAGTAAGGCTGCAGGAGATCAAAGAGGTAGCCTGGGCAGGCCAGGCCCACGTCTGATTTATTTTTCAATAAATAAACAATGCATCTGTTGAGGAGTGCCATTGGAGAGCCCCGCCGCCGCTGCTGCTGCTCCTTGGCTCGCTTTCTTCTGCTGCCATCTGTCCTCTGGCTAAGCAAAGGGGGCGGAGGAGGATAGCCAGGCCCCGGTTTTTTACTGCGGCCCTTATGCAACACGACTGTCTGCCTGTCTGCACGCCTGTTCCTCATTAAGAGACTCTCCCTCACCGTGGTACAGTACAGTGCTGACGCCTTGCACACATATGGATTTACTCAAACAGAGGCACTTGTTGTGTTACATCTTTCCAAGAGAGAGCCCAAGTGTGTGTGTGTGTGTGTGTGTGAGAAAGAGAGAGCAAGAGCGAAACCGTGTGTTCACCAAACTTATGTATACTCATAAAAAGGCCGACAGTGGTAAATTCTGGTGATGGTACTCATTCATTAAACAAAGATCAAGTGCAAGCAGGAGAAGCAGTTAACAAGGGATGATGTCATTCAAAGGCAAGTGGAAATAAAACAATAAAAGCAAAGATATACAGCCTAATGACCCCTACATGACATACTGCCGATTTAACCAGTGGACAGGTAAGAAGTGATCATTTATACTTTTACTGTGTTTGCAGTTTTACTACTTAAAACTAGTAACTGCCAGCAAATCAGCTGAATCATTTTTAATTCAGTTAACTGAAATTTTATTGGATGTAAGTACTTAGCTTCTCCATGCCAACATTTTTAGGCACTTTTAAAAACCAGACACCTGCCAAGGGTTTTCATCCACAGCAGAAAAGTTGAAGGTCACTTTAGGATCTTTGGATGGATGTTCAGAAATTCTGTTTGCAATCCTTTTGAGAACAATGACACATTTTATAGAAAGGTTATGAGATTTCTAAAATGGTGATGGAAAAAAAGGGCCTTTTCTTCTTTTCTTTTTTTTTTAGATGTTGTAAAATACTATAAATAGCAGAAGACATCTATAGCTGCATGTTTCTGGGAAGAAGTAAAAGTTCTCATCAGCCGAAAGTCCCTGTAGGAGCAATAACGAATTAGCCTGTTCTCATTCCCAGAGCATCTGATACTGCCATTTTGTCAAACTCATGCTAGGATCTATGCAATGAGGCACTGGTTTCATAGCAGAAGTGGGAAGGATCTCACCCCTAACTAGCATGCAGACACTCATAAAAGGAACCCTTGGCAGCACATTTAAGCTGGCCCAAAGTACTGATATTATGAAACACAGTATTTAGTTCCTAAATCTAACCAACCAGTGAAAGTGAAAGCAAAAGCAAATTACTATCCAGTGAGGGAAAATAAAAAGGATCAATGTGACATGATATGCCAACTCCTTCCTGACATGCTAAGGAAATACCCTGCCAACATCTTCTAAATAGGAGTTTATTTGGCACTCTTTAAAATGAGACACTTATGTACGCCTCTGACATTCACACTGCCATTGGAAAATCTTTTGCAGATCTTTGTTACGCCAAAGATTTCTAAGAAAATAAAGAAATGTTAACTCCCACTGTTTGTGTATAGCACTCTGTCTTCGGGGCGATATAGACCAATTTGGAGTGGACGTCACGGTTACGACACTGCAGCTGCTTGGGCGGCGGAATAAAAGTAAAACAAACATGGCAAGATTCTCAGAATAAGAACTGGACATAAGACAGAAATGGCAAAAATCATCTAGAATGCAATGAAAAGGAAAAATGCGGTGCTTGAGCAAAAAGTGGGGTAAACCCAGTGTACTGCAGGGTCAACACAGAGAGACACAATCACACCTATGATCAATTTAGAATCACCAGTTTATTTACCAAGCATGTCTTTGGACACTGGGACGAGTGCTTGGAAAAAACATGCAAACTCCACCTTTAAACCAAATGGTTCACCTTGCGATATCGAACATTGTTCTCGTAAGAGCTCCATTAACAATAAAGTAAACAGTTTATTCAGTTTATCTTACGTTTGAGATAAAACTAGGAGTGCAGGCACAACAATCAACTGCAGGAATATGAAATGTTTGCTCAGCTATGGCAAGTACAGCAGATCTCAGATGAAGCAGGAAGTCTGTCTGTAAACTGTGGTGGGTGTTTACACCAGAGAGTTTGGGTAATCACTTTAACGTGTTTTCTCTTCAAAATAAGCTTGTATGATCATCTCGCTGACGTGCCCCCCCCCCCCTCCACTTTCACCACAAACTTTGTTTTGTCAATGCTCTTGTGTCAGATCGCCAGTTAGATTGATAAATAAAGTCTAAATTAAGCTGAATTACGCCAAAAGTAGACATTTCGCAATCTTTTTATCAGGGTCATTTAGATTCTCACTGCAGACTGGAGATACCAGTAACTGTATACAGTATTTCTTAACGTCATCCTCCTCTGCAAAGTGACACATGATGAACAAGGACTGGATTTTCCCAGATTACATATAGACATTTAGAATAAATGAGCCTATTCTGTATTACTAACACATGAACATCATTTATATTGCCACTACATGGAAAAAAAAATTTTAAAGACCCAAGAAAAATCTATTTCTACTTCCTCTTATGGTAACAGATTAGATTAGAATGTATACAAATTATATTGGGTGCTGTTTCCATATATTCATTAACTATTCTGTGAATGACTGACTTGGGGATGCATCAACACGCTTTCCTTTATCATTTCCCCATATCACGTACAGCAGAGCACCAGACAAACCATCTAAAGGCGAAATGAGATCCAAAGCTTCATCTATCAGCACACGGCTCTCCGAGTTTGCCACTGAAAGTAACAGACTCAGGAACAAACATGCTCACAGGAAATACAGCAACTCTTTTTTTGGGGTAAAACAGACAACGCATTCCAGAGAAAGTTATGTTTCAACATGCAATGAAGTTTGCCCAAGAAAAATATTACCTCCTCATTTTTTCACAGCTCATTTTACTAAAGTTTTTTCATCTCCCTTACAGGCTGTATGAGTTTAAAAGAACATTAAAGTGAGCTAAACTGGCTGAAATCAAATTATCTGACTGTCTTCAGCGGAAACGCAGCTGACCCCAACTTCTGCTACTTGGTCAAATATTTACAGGAAACCCAGATGACACATGCTACTATCACTATGCTGTCAATGAGGAAAAAACAAAAAACACAATAAAATAAAACGCATGCCTCGTGAGAAGAAAAACACCAATAAATCCTCTCAGAGCTGAAGAACTAAATGACAGGCTCGACACCATTCACCATTCAAGACCATCAATACAACTTCATGAGAGAAAAACACCACTCACCAGCAGCTGCTCTCTCTCTGCTTGGACAAAGTCAAGTGTACTGACTGCTGTCTCAGTCAATGCTGGCTGACTATGACGTAACCAGCCTTCCGATCCATAGCTTCAGGGCAGTAGAAGAGAGCGGGATAGACAGGAGGGCGGTGAGCAAGACCAAAAAAGGAGGAAGTGAGGGGGGAGGGGGGGGGGGCATTGGCTATTCCAAGTGAAATGAGAACTTTCAATGAATGCTGATTTGGATGCAAGATGTTCCGAATAAGACTTGGAAATTGATTATTTGGAAACCACTTCCAGTTTGGTATAAAGAATATGGAAAGGAGAGAACAGCGGTGGGTGCCAGGGTGTATACTGGTCTGTTGATATAAGAAGCAGATGTGAAATATGCAGACATACGAGGAAAAACAGACTTAAAGTGCTGGTCTGCACAGATGTAGATGATACCTACAGGCAGAAATAAGACAAGTACTGCCCAGAACGAAAACTGTAACTGAAGGTCTGCCCACTTTGAAGTCATTAATTCCTCATATCATTCATTTGTCAAGCAAAGAAGTCCAAAAACTACTCAAACGAGATAACTTTGCTTATTCCCATATAATGAATTCAACACATCAAGTTTATTTTGACTAGACAAAATAAACCATTAATTAAAAATCAGCCAGTGACAGCGATAATGTCCAGATAAAGCCCCACGTGAATTCAACTGCTAAAGCGGCGCATTTCTCCCAGCTGTTCTGCTATGAGTATTTCACAAACGTATCTAACAAAAAGGAAAACTTACAAGCACCATCACCGCAAAAATCTAAGAAAAACAATCTACGTTATCTTTACCTGCCATAGAAAAACTCCACGTCTCAGCAAAGGTAACAGATTGATATCTCCAACGTCCGATAGGCAGCAGGTAGTGAAAGCTTTAGTCCCAAAGTGAACTGAACTTGCTGTATAACTTAAGTTTTTCTAGATCATGAAATAATTCAGAGTTTCAGGGTGACGCTGTTAATATGACACACGGCTGGAGTGTGACAAAGCCGAGAGCCTCACTCTCTTTACTACAGCAGACACACAGACAGAAATAATCAACCCCACCCCATCTACTCATTCTCACCCAACAAGCTCACACACATCCAGGCTGACTCATGCAAACTCGCACTTAAACTCGTCTTTTTCCCCCTGAGAAACGGATTGATTTTCCATCAGACAAGCTGAGGTTTCACCATCGAACTAAACGGGCAAATTACAGAATAGCTGCGTCTTCGTGCCTAAGCTCAGCTCCACAGCTTGTTTTAGAACTTAATTTGAACTTTGACCCCACCGGAGCAGGAGGTCAAATGAGGGAGTTGAGTTTGGTTTCTTTCCAAAGTGCTGACCAGGGGGAGGAAAAGGAAGTAAATCTGTCAACATTGCCATCGGCACACTTTTAAACCTACGTTCACGGCTCCCTGTTGCTCAGTCTGGATCAGTTTTAGGGGGAAAAAAACAAAAAACAAAAAACAAAAAACAGATAATGATGAAGGAGACAGGAAATCAAAAACAAAACAACAAAGATATTCAGGTATCACACATTTTCCCAATTCTTTTTGTCATGTTTTAAAGTTGAGAAGTTTTTAAAGGGATCCCCCTATGTTTATATGTCAAAGCCATGAGATCACTAGATGGCTCCTGTGAGTGCTCAGACTGGTGAACCACATGTACAAGGTATCCTGTTACTCCCGAGAAACATCTGCGTGAAAAAAATAACCCGGATTACGTCACAGTGACATCAGCCGGTTTCACTCAACTCAAGTCTGAAGACGCATTTAAAACAAAGTCTGCAGCAGTCAACTGTTTACAGTAATTTTGCTAGTCAGTTTCAGTCTGTCGCTTTAGAGGAAAAGTGACAAATATTTGAGAAACGGTTTAGGAATTTCTGCTTGTTTTTATCTCACAGCATGAATTCTGGCCTGTTAAAACATGACTTGTGTCCAAACTAATTAACTATTTTTGGCAGCTCCCTTTTCACAAAGGACGGCCACAGCAGGTAGCATGTTTGGTTTGGCAGATTTTTACGTCTCATGCCCTTCCTGACACAACCCCAAAGGGATTTGGGTCTGCCTGGAATCAAACCAGGGATCTTTGGCTTGTTTAAACCACTTCACTGTGGAGCCTTTCCTTCTTAACTGATTAATTAATTAAAGGTAATCTGCAGATTAATAGGTGGCGCACTGGTGCAGTGTTTAGTACTGTCTCACAAGAAACCTTGGGTTCAAATCCACTGGCTAGCTGAGGCTTTCTGTGTGGATCTTTGTGGGTTTTCTCCAGATACTTTAACTTCCTCCCAAAGTCCAAAGTCAGGTTAGTTAGTGGGCTTAAGTTAATTGGTTATTCTAAATTGGCTGTCTTTCACTCTGTGTTAGACTGGCAGCGTGTCACCCTGTTTCAGCTGGGGTACAGCTAAACTTGACAAACAGTTAAGAAAATAAATGGATGGAATCTGTGGATTAACAGCTGTGACGGGCTACTTTTTTTGTGCCAGTTTTTTGTTTGTTGTTTCAAATCAATAAGTCCTCTCTTTGGCCTCTTAGGAGGAAAAAAATCCCTGGTTCTTTTTTTTTTTTTTTTTTTTTTTAAAGGTTTGGACTGCTGACATTTAGTGACCAAACAAATTATTAATAGTGTGCAATGAACAGTCATTACTTGTAGCCCTAGTTTGGTGCGGTATGTGTAGGAGGGTGACGCCTTGTGTGGGCTTGTAGTGTAACAGCATGTGAGATTTACAGCCTAAATTTCCTGTTACAGTCTGTTGCGCTGACCACAAACACTCAGCCCACTACTCTCTGTTCTGTTGTCATTCAGGTTAATCTGAGATGAGCCATGTTTAAATCCCCCACAATTAGCCTGCTCGCAAAAAAAATTTCAAGACCCCTGAGGCTCAGGTGGGGGGGCACAAGAGAGGCAAGGATAGACTTTGGTGAGGATCGAGTGGTCAAGTGGGTAGGTCACAATACACAAACTCCACCTCTTCTTCTCTCACAACTTCAAAACAAGGCGACCTGTTGAATCTTTATCATCTCCGCCACCCCCCGCTGTCAGCGTTAATCAGGGGGAGGCTATATTTAAGAGTGGATAGCAGAGATGCAATTACCCAGAAGGATTAGCCCCCCAGTGGCAGTGCCATTGTAGAGGGAGCGGACTTGAGTGGCCTTCCCTTGATGCCTACCCGTAGCATTAACCCTTCAATAACTGTAAGCCCCGATTTTATTTCTTTAAATCTTCAAGGCAGTTGCTAAATAAAGAGGACAAAAGGAAGGGAAATGTGAGCATTAAGCTAACAAAGAAAAGCAAGTCAGCGAGAAGAAAAAAAAAAAAAGACACGTAAGGAAAAAGATTAAAAGACCAATAATTCACTCATGATGCTGCTGGAAGTTCCAGTTTCGTGTCTGGCTTCAATTGAGAGCAAGCATTACATGCTTCCACAGCCATAATAACACACATTAAATTAGAGATTTTTCGAAGCTTATTATCGCCTCTCTAACTAAGCTGTGCTGACTGCCACTCTCAAAGCATTTCATTAAGCAGCGGTTGTTTACATTCTCAAAACACTCACAACCAATAATTAGCAGGATTTGCCTTGAGAAGACTCATCGCATGCAAGGGAGGTGTGGGGGTTGTTTTCCCATCCCATCTCTACACTCTAGGCTTTTTCCTAACGCTTTGAAGCTAGGCTACATTGGTCAACCGTTTCCATAGGAGCGTCAGTCGGGTAGGTACCCTCTTCCTGTTATTCCCCAGTCCACTGCGATGGTGTTTCCTGACTGGGAACCTCTTGGATGGGATTGAACTGCTGTCCCTAATCCCTCTACACACACCAACTAGTGTTTGCACTTCCTGTGGAGACAATGTATGGACAGAGGCACACAAGTCATTGTCCATCTTGTTTGTTTTTGCGGAATGTCCATCACGCTGATTTTCTTTCCACCGAGCCACGTCGACGGGCTTTTGCTTTTTTCCCCACATTTCACCGTCATCGCATCCATACTTTGAGTCTGTGTGAAAAATTAAGAATCAGCTGATTCTTTACAACCCATCTTCTCCTTTGTGCTCAAAGCGAATGGACCTCAGGAGCTAAAGTTATTTAATCAGTGTGATATTTTTTTGAAATGTGTTCTTCTCCATGTTACGTCTTTATATTTTACAGACTATATTAGAAGGTTATTTTGATACAGAAGCTAGATGAATACTCTGATAACAAAATATAGGAAAAATGTGGCCTTTCAATATGCCACAACTTGTTTTGATCCACCACCTTTCCCGCATGGTGATATGATCCTTAAACATTTACCCCAAACACACTTTGATGTTTTCTCCATTGAATTACCAGAAAGTGGATCAAATATCCAAGATGATAATTATTGTTTCTGACATATCCTATTGCATCTGATATTGCTGCTCAGATTTGCAAATAAAGAACCTTTTTGCTTTAGACTGTGACACATGGGGTGGATGTAAAAGTTATCCAGTTGCAATTTTTAACAGATCTTGAACATGTTTTGAACTTCATGTGGATATCTCCTATACTTATGAAGTAATGAGGGCTTAAAATAGTAAAAAAAAAATGCAAAATTTAAAAGACACCTACGTAGTTTGAATATTTTTAGTTACAAGCCATCATAGTATGAGGATAAAAATGTTCAGGTCTTTATTAAAGACACAAAAGGAATTGTACAAAATCAGGTAGTTCATATAGCTGTGATGGCTAGCCAAATGGCTATATCTGTTCATATAGCCATTTGGTAGAGACACTCCTTTGGTCATCCAGTCATTCATCCATCCAATTACTACCACTGGTCCAGGTCATGTTCCCAAGCCAGTTGAAAGAGACTCTCTAGCGTATTCTGCGTCTCGTGAGCATGTTCTGGATCTCCCCAGGGTGACTCATACCCAATAGGACACGCTTGAAACAACTGATCCAGGAGTCACCAGAGACACCTGACTTCTTCTGATGTGGAGGACTCTAGTCTACTCTCCAAAACAATCACACCGTGGACTTTCACACTTGACATCTCATTCTTCCAGCCACTACCCTGAACTAGTGACCAAAGGTGAGGGTAGGAACACAGACTGACACAAACCAAACATGATTTGCCATTTATTTGGAAAGCTGACATCATGAATGAAGTATAAGAGACAGATTATTAAAAAACAGCATGTTGACAAACAGTGATGCACTAGTGGGCGTGTTCAAAAATTGCAAAAATCGCACTTTCATTACTTCTTGTCAAAACAAGTAAAAGTTCCAGTTAAAATGTAAAAAACAAAACCCAAACTACTTCACAAGTTCCAAGTAAAGAAGACAATGCAACAGTTGTGACTGTGGTCTTCCATTTCTCTGGAATTAGCTACATTCATACCTGATATTTCACTGCCAATCTTCAATAGTGGTAGGTGACAAGGGTCTGACGATAAAGACAGCAACAGTCTTTCTCTGGAACGAAACGTTTCACAGAGCTGGAAAAGTAGACACAGGCAAAAGATCTGCTGATTGCCTTTTAGATGTAGGCTGCGTGTCTGTTTGAAGAAGACGGAGCTGTTGTAGCACGCAACAGTGTTACGCCATTTAAGAAAAATGTCCACATAATTGTGGGAATATCACTTTTGAGTAATAACCCAAAACACAGAAGATATTATTGTGTTTAACAGGATAAGCGTGGTGTGCAACGTAACACAAAAGATTACTCTGAAGCAACAAAGATTATGATTTCAGTCTTTCTCAAGGTAGCAAAATCATTTCCAAGACTACTTAAAGTAATAGTGTTCACATCAAAAAGCCAATTGCGAATTAAAGTTATTATTTCACTAAAGCTTTCCACACTTTTTCCTTATTGTTGTGTTGGTTTTAATGTCTTCAAGCAGACTGGTCAATCATACAACAAACAGGATCCTAACAAAGAGATGATTAACAGTGAATCAAAACAAAACGTTTTAATGCAAGAGAGGGCCAGACAGTTTAATCCAGACTGTTCTTATAACTGAGGCTTTACTGGATAGCACACCAAATCTCTGGTTTGAACTGTCAGATGTTTCCATTTTTTTACAGTTATATAGAGAGTACATGCATTAAATACTTATATTCCTAAGTTCAAGTTCCTTAAAACTGAATCTGCAAATACTACAGTGTGATGTTGGCACAGTGTTAAACTGTAGAATGGCAGTCCCCAACCCACGGACCAGCACCGATCTGTGGCTGTGGTGTGAAATTTATGGTTTTCAGGGTTTTTATCGTTAGTTTTTTAAATCATTTTTATCGTTTCCCTGGGTCTTTTCCCGTCTGTTATGAATAAATATTTTTTGTACCAGTACTGGTTTTATTTTGTTGTATTTATCCGCGACACCTTAAAGGCTGGTCCGCGGAAATATTGTCGGACATAAACCAGTCCGTGGTGCAAAAAATGTTGGGGACCGCTAGACTAGAAGAACGTGGTAAGAAGTTGACATAGTGCAAAAAAGCTCAGATGTTGCAGGGTTGCCGTTTCTCACCAATAAGCTCCAGTCAGTGGCTTTTCTTTGTGGAATTCTAGGTTCTTGTCATATCTACGTGGGTCCTCTGGATGGGGTTAGATTAATGCCTTTCTCTGGGTTAGCATTGTGTTACACTGGCAACCTGTCCAGGGTGTCCCTGTCTCTAACCCTATGACAGCTGGGATAGGCTCCAGACCACCCAATCCAAACTGAAATGGATACATGGAATAAAATAGATGGATAAATAAGTTCAGGACATTTAATTTAATAAAATTTAGGGGGTTTTAGACATGATGCCTTTAAGGCTGCAAAAGTACAAGGTGCTACATTATCCTTACTACTCATCCCATTGCACCATGACATTAATTATTATCCTCCATAATTTGAGCTTTTTAGAGTTCTCAGTAACACCCAGTAAACCGCACATATCAACAAGTGCCCTGTTGCATGACACTATTGTATGTAAATGTACATCATGAATGATGTAAGCAGGCAGCATTAGCTACACACTGCGTAGCCAAGCCTCGACTAGTATTTCAGTAAGCAATTGTGATTAAGAAACCTTTGCATTGCAGCACAGCATAATTTATGGTTGGTAAAAATCAGTACTGTTTGAGTGGGCCACACTAGTTGATGAAGTAATTTGGAGAGCTAGCCATTTACCACTAATTAGTGTTAGAGCTAGATAATGTTAGTCACCTAACTGTAGCTTAGCCAAGCTGTGTGAATTTGGTGAGTTTATAGCATTAGTTAATAAGGTCGTCTAGTAAAAGTTGATTTTTACCAATTACATCACAATCTTAACAACGAAAATTGCTTTAGCAGTAAAAAAGTAGAAGTATAGTGATTCTGAACAGCATCAGTGTATTCATCTCTGAATGTAAAGCATGGACTAAAAAGCTAATTACGACCATAGTTTTCCCAGTACTAAGCTTCATATTGAAATGTAATTAGGCAACATTTCCTCAGCTCCTGTAATGTTCAATTCACTCTGGAATAACCAAAGCATTTTAGACCACCATTTCAATCAATGGTCTCTCGTTACTTCATAGAGTAAACTTTCCAAGAACCTAACGTTTATATAGCTGAGGTCACATCCTTTGACATCTTTTTCAAGACTTTAATGTCTAAATTACAATACAAGCTGTGAAGAATATTGATGAACATAATGCATGTTGTGTCCAGAGATAAATCACCATCAGCAGCTCTCTATTGAAGATACTGGAAGAAGCTGCATGACGTGAAAAAAGGCAAAGGAAAAACTGATAAATATACACAGCCATTTTCCCCATTTTCTAACATTAACTGGAAATTCCTAAAAGACCCAATGAATCCAGAAAAATGAGCAGAAGAAGTGGATAGTATGAATGTAGAACAGCTGTTTTAGAGTCCATGCATGCTGAATGAGCTTACAGAAAAAGTTGTGAATCCTCCCAGGCTGAAGATTCAAGAACAATTAGGCAAGTGGTGAGTTGTTAGAGAAAATATGCTGCCTTTTTCAGATGTTGGGTATGTAATACTGCTGGCTTCACTAATCATACGATGGTGTCCTGTTATTTAGACATACCGTAGGTTCCTTTTAAGTTATGAGCAGAAGATTTATTGCCTTTATGGCCACAGTTATTGTCAGTACCTGCTTTATTTAGCTTGGTTCTTTCATCAATGTCACAAAGAGTGACTCTCTTGGAGTATTAACTTTGTTCGCTTTTCTTATTTGTCTTTCTTCATTGGTTTGCCTCAGGTGTTTGTTTTCAGTGTTTTGAGATACTTTTTAAAAAAAAAATGTCATTATATACACATTGCTGTTCAACACATCTTCTAGTGAATTAAACTCACAAAGATGCATGTGGGAGGATGTGCCTGTTTGGTAATGTTACTATATGTAGTTCAGACTTGTCCTTTACTGAAAGCAAACATTACTGTCCCATAGCAAGACTGCAGTTGTGCCTCTTCCAACAAGAACAAGACTGCTCATTCATACAGCTGACACACTGAGGTTAATGAAAGGAGGGTATGTCTGAAAGGGGCTTATGACACCTAGAACCAAAGCCATTTCTACCAGGAAATAATGCCTAATACCCTTCACCCTAGATCCCCCTCAAAGATACAGAAAGTAGGCATCCAGCCAAATGAACGTGTTTACTTAGCAGCCTCGGCAGGTCCCTGTCAGTGTCGGTTAAGTGTGACTTTTCAACTGAGCAGTTCAGTGGAACAGAAAGCAAGGTCAAATCTGAAGATCCACTGTGTCTGTGCTTATAAAAAAAGAAACATTCGTGACAAAATGAACTGATAGCCACTAAAAGAAAAAACAGACTGAATGAGTCAGCTGCGAGTAATAAGGTGATTCTGTCTAAGTATATCGCATAAGACTGTGACTAATAAAAATTAATTACCATTAAACATAAGCAAAGGATTGCTCATAAAACATAAAAGAGTGGGAACAAAAGAGGGAAAAGAGAAATTTTTTTATAAAAATGGAAGCCAGCCAGAAACATGAGTGATTAAATGAGATGTACTCCACATGTCCAAATACAGAGCAACTTTAACTGTGTGCACATTAAACTGACTAAAGAAAATGGATATTACATTGATGTTATTCAGATATTAGGTTTATAGAAATAGAAAAAAAAGCTGTTGGTGCCAGTTCTCCAGCTGGAGGCATTAACAATTCAAGAAGAAGGAGGTGCAACAAATTAATGCAACTATGAGAGTTTCCAATCTCTCTAAAACGATGAAAAACAGGGTAAAATACAGCACTGATGTTAGTTTCGTGTAATTATTTCAATAAGGTTCCCATATCATCATGAGTCAGGACAGAGGGAATTCTTCCACTGCATTTAAAATGATTCATACATCTTTTTACATCTAGATGTTATCAGCAAATCTATTGCCACTTTTCCTAATATTTGGTTTAACTAAGAAGTCCCATTGAGATCAAAATCCCTGTTACAGAAGCCTTCCAAGGGAGCAGTCATATAAACTCACTTCTACTTCAATTCAACAATAAATAAAAGCACACTTTAGTTTCGATCTTGCTGAGAATTATTTCATGTCCTCGCTGCCTAAAAAAAAATGATGCCGTTTACCCAGATCTGTCCAAACCTGGAGCACATTAAAAAGCAACTATTTGGAAGAGAGTAGCTGGAGACACAAGGGTACAGAGAGAAGCTGAAAGTTCACACAATGTACGTACAGAGACCGAGGGGGATCCAGCTGACTTAAACATTTCCTCATCCTTTGTGCTTCTGTCAATTTCCACTTTCTACACATTATCCCTGTGCCTCCAGCTGTTTGGACTGGGAGGGGCCCGTTGGCAAAGCAACCCACGCCTTGCGAGTCATCTTGTCTGGTCATGTCAATCCTGAAGGAGGGAGGGAGGGAAATAAAGGGGACCGGTGGGATAGAAGCGAAGGAGGAGGGGGACAATAAACTCCTCTCTGTCTGTACCTCAATCCAGCAAGCAAGCTCAGACTAGCAGTGAGCACTAACCAGCACGCACTACCGTATCCCACCACCTCAATCGAGAACCCACTCCGTAACATTATCTTTCAGACAGACACCTGCAGACGGATTTCAAATCCCTCTGACTTAAGGAAACCAAAAGTATCCAAACACGCCAGCAAAAAACCCGTGGAAGCACATGTGTTGGGCCATTTAAAATCCTTTTAGGAACCTTTAGGAGCTCTGCTTTTCAACGTGGTGGCACAGCTGAGCTACAGCAGCACAAGTACAGGGTGACACCTGGTGTGATTCCAGTAAATTATGGCCCAGGTGGACTCATTCAAGTCCCAGCCAGTCATGCTGCGACTAGAAGTGACACAGCCTCACCAGGGAGCTGATATATAGCAGGAGGAGACTAAAGGCAAGCCTGCCTGGGAATAAAACGGCTGAAAAAGAGCATTACAAGTCCAAGACTCGCTTTCTCTCTCTATGCATTTGTGCCTGCAGTGTAGCTTGTTGCCAAGCTGCCGACATATCAAAGAGATGATTGGGAGTCATTTCAAAAACTCTTAAAGTGAAATATAAAAGTTTAATGTGTTTTTTTTTATTTAGTAAAAAATGCTTTCTTTGATGTGTCTAAATCGGTTTCGTGGGTGGAGTGGGTAAAAGTCGAGGGATATATTTATGCTCAAATTCTTCTGAGAAATGTGGCTCTCGCTAGTCAGACTGAGCTTTGGAGGAGAATAAGCAGCAGCAGACCTGGAGGTCAGGGCGGCCATGAAATGCCCCCTGCTGCTTAAAGCTTGTTACAGACAATACAAGTTCTACTATTGAGCAACAGCTGTGAGCATGAATAATATCACAACATCTTCCAGTACACAACAAAAATGATTTTTCATGATCTGGAAACCAAAAAATGTAAAATGACTCACCCTCAATGTTCTTAAGTTAAAGTATACAGTTACCAGAAGCGTTAGGAATTGTGACATCTTGGGTTATCCGCTCCTCACTAGAGCAGAAACAGGCAGTGTAGGATCGAGGTGCAAGAATAACACCAGTGACTCACTTAAAACAATATTTTCAATGAATGTCTTTCATTTGAAACCATTCACTTGCTACTCATTATACAGCCAACAGGTGGCTTTTAGAGGCTTAATTTTAATGTGTCTAGTATATAGAGTACTATATATTTACAAAACCTGTTTTTAATGATGGTACAAGATTGAATCAAACAGATGCAACGCATTTCTTTGGACTTAAGATAAAGTCTGTAGATATTTTACATGTAGATATTGCACACTTTGCAGTTAGTTTCTTCCACTTTTTCCATTAAGCACATTTAA